GATGCAAGAGAAGTATAATAGTTTGGGTAGCATATTTTAACTTTTAATCATAACCTGGTGAGGAGAATCCAGCTGATTTCTTGTCTCGAGGTTTACCTTATGCTAAATTTGTAAATCTGTATCATGGTTTAAAGGACCGAGCTGGTTGGTAAATAAAGGTAATTGGCCTGTGCAAAAGGCATATATGGCTCCTTTTTGAAATTACTGAGACCACCGCTCCAATAGTTTGTCCTTCCTTAGCCATTGATAAAAAATGGGTATTCTTCTTTAAACCCAAACTAATCAATGTAACTAAGTTGGGTTTAAATTTCTAAACAAGATGAATATCTCATATAAGTTTTCACATCCTCTGAATATTGGATAAAGAGGGTACAGGAGGAAATCAAATGGAAATGAGATTAAAATAAAGATGAAAAGAAAAATTGTGGAAGGTTTCCATAATAGAGAAATTGGGGCTGTATTTAGAGAACAATGTAATTAGGTGCAGAGGTAGGTTGCAAAATGCTGAATTGGGTGATTATGCTAAACACCCCTATCTTACTGCCCAAAACTCATCATCAACAAATTTAATTGTTTTAAATGCCCATAAAAATGTAATGCATGGTGGGGTACAAGATACCTTAAATTGTATTGGGGAAACTTTCGGGATTCCACAAGGACGACAAATGTAAAAAGGTGATTAAATCTTGTGTAAAAATGTTGCCCGTTGGATACCAGATCCTATATGTACCCAGGTCCTCCACCATTGCCAAAGGAGCGTGTACAATTAGTGAAACCATTTGATGTAACAGGTGTAGACTATAGTGGTCCAATCATTTTAACAGGTACTTCAGATGGTGTTCCACTGAAAGTGTATGTATGCTTGTTTACTTGTACTGCTACTAGGGCAGTTCATTTAAAAGTAACTCAGGCCTTGTCTGCAGAACAGTTTATACAGCTGTTTCGAAAATTTGCAGCTAGGAAATCCTGTCCGAGATTGATTATTTCGGATAATGCCACTAATTTTTTAGCAGGCACTCAGCACTTGATAGAATTAAATAATAGTAACGATTTTCAATCTCTGTTAACCCAACAAGGGTGTACCTGGAAATTTATTACTCCTAGAGCCCCTTGGCAGGGGGGGTTGTACGAAAAACTGATAGGCACAGTGATCAGGTGTCTCCGTAAAGTACTACATCGGAAGAGAATTAATTTGGAAGAATTCCATGCAGTGTTAGTGGAGGCAGAAAATCGTATAAATAATAGGCCTCTCTCGTACATGAGTGATACACCTGATGCAGATGTATTAACACCTTCTCACCTAATATGTGGAATGAAGTTGGAAACTGCCCCTGTCTATAGAGATAACCCTGAAGAAAGTGATGAAGATTACAATGATGCGGCAGTGTTGTGTAATAAATTTAAAATGTTAAATAAAGTAATTGATCATTGGTCTAATGTGTGGCATAAGGAATATCTTCTTACACTACGTGAACACTTTTATGGTGCAACAGAGGCAGTAAATCGACAGAACATTCAACCAGGTGACATTGATACTGAACAACATCGAACATTGTGGCCTCTGGGCAAAGTATTGACATTGTACCCAGATGCACAAGGTGTTGTCCGGAATGTCAAAGTGTTGTGTCATGGCCAGGAAAGTTTATGCACAATTAATAAATTGATTCCCTTGGAATTAAATGGTGTTCAATCAAATGTAAATGAAAATCTGAGGGAAAGTGACATGAGTGATATGGAAGATAACGCTGACCAAGTGATGCCAGAAAATGAAATCGTAGTAAGCCCTACTAGAAGAACAGCCACTCAAGCCAGAACCAGCTGGAATCATCTCCTAAAGGAAGAAGTAATTTGGGTCGGGTTTTTCAAAGAAATCCGCCCCACCCCCAAAATGGGAAAATAAATGCATATTTTTCCCCAAAAATACAGTGTGTTTTATATGTAAATTGATGGCCTATATTGTAGGTTATAAAAATTAATTTGTAAATAAATAAAATACCTCTTAGCTCTGGGACTAGTCTTGTTGCAAACCTTTGCACTTTCTCTAGTTTCTTTACGTGCTTGGCTAGGTGTGGGTTCCAAACTGGTGTGTGTGTGTGTGTGTGTACTCACCTATTTGTACTCACCTATTTGTGGTTGCAGGGGTCGAGTCCTAGCTCCTGGCCCCGCCTCTTCACCGGTTGCTACTAGGCCCTCTCTCTCCCCGCTCCATGAGCTTTATCAAACCTCGTCTTAAAACTGTGTATGGTTCCTGCCTCCACTACGTCATTTTCTAGGCTATTCCACTGCCTTACAACTCTATGACTGAAGAAATACTTCCTACTATCTCTCTGACTCATTTGTGTCTTCAACTTCCAATTGTGGCCTCTTGTTTCTGTGTCCCCTCCCTGGAACATCCTGTCCTTGTCCACCTTGTCTATTCCACGCAGTATTTTATATGTCGTTATCATGTCTCCCCTGACACTCCTGTCCTCCAGTGTCGTCAGGCCGATTTCCCTTAATCTTTCTTCATAGGACATTCCCCTTAGCTCTGGAACTAACCTTGTTGCAAACCTTTGTACTTTCTCTAGTTTCTTGACGTGCTTTATCAAGTGCGGGTTCCAAACAGGTGCTGCATACTCCAGTATGGGCCTGACATACACGGTGTACAGTGTCTTGAATGATTCCTTACTAAGGTATCGGAATGCTGTTCTCAGGTTTGCCAGGCGCCCATATGCTGCAGCAGTTATCTGATTGATGTGTGCTTCCGGAGACATGCTCGGTGTTATACTCACCCCAAGATCTTTCTCCTTGAGTGAGGTTTGCAGTCTTTGGCCACCTAGCCTATACTCTGTCTGTGGTCTTCTGTGCCCTTCCCCTATCTTCATGACTTTGCATTTGGCAGGATTAAATTCGAGAAGCCATTTGCTGGACCAGGTGTCCAGTCTGTCCAGGTCTCTTTGAAGTCCTGCCTGGTCCTCATCAGATTTAATTCTCCTCATTAACTTCACATCATCTGCAAACAGGGACACTTCTGAGTCTAACCCTTCCGTGTGTGTGTGTGTGTGTGTGTGTGTGTGTGTGTGTGTGTGTGTGTGTGTGCGTACGTGCGTGTGTGTGTTTGTGTGTTTGTGAGCGTGTATTTTTTTTTTTTTGGCAAATCCAATGCCTGTTTCTCACATCAACGTTGAATTTCATAATAACTCGCAAGGTTCGTCTAACACATCAGCTTGTCATATCCGGGACACTGAGAATAATCGAAGGGGGTACAATCATTAGGTAAGGGTCCTGTTACACAGATCTTTTCACTAGGGTCAAAATATCCAAGTGGGCATGTTTCGTGTTTATAAGGCTCCGCATATTGGGTTAAACACACATAATATTTGGTGCAGTCAGTAGGGTCTGGGTTATATCCTACTTGTGGACATTTTTCAGCTCTAGAAAGTGTTGTGGTGACAAAAGAACATGCACTTTCGCAAGAGTCTAAATCTTGGTCAAAGTATTCATTGGACCCGCATTGTGAAACTCTAGTGGAGTTGTCAGGGAGACAGGTGTAGGAGTAACTGCAGTCGTTGGGGTTGACTCTGGTGTCAGTAGATCCGTCGCAAGGAGGAATGTCCGGGACTACAGGGGGTTGAGGCTCCTCGCAAGTAAGACTAGTAGATGAGAACAACTTCCCGTTATCGCACTGATACAGATCCATAGTTGTATGATCGGTAGTTACATCACAATAAATGTAAAACGTTTCGTTGTAACTATCGGCCATTAATCCTGTATTCTCACACTCGCATGATCCATAAACTTCTACAAGGAGATACGGCAGACACGCCCCTCCACCAAAATTAATATTATCGGTACACGCTTCAGTATCTGCACAGATGTCGACATAGGGGATGCCATTAATGCATTCGTAAGCTGTCTTACAGTTGTAGCAGCCAGCGTTGGGTTTGCCTTCTTCACATAGGAACTGAAGAACTGGAACTGGAACTTTGTCCTTTAATCCAATGGTGGTGCAACCTGGCTGCTGATCATGGGAAACACAGCGACGCTCGTCCGGGGAATAGGGAAAACCGAAACAATGTTTTACCCTCGCAGTGAGCTGACCATCGACACCTGGTATACAGTGCACATAGCTGCCGCAGTCCTCTGGATGTGGGAACCTTCCCGGTGTCTCACACTTCAATATACTGTCCAAAAGTAAAGAAAACTTCCGTATAAGGTTTACAGATTAAATAAATTAAATAACTTTTAGTATAAATTTCACAAAAAAATAGATAAAAATATCTCAGTGAATCACTAACCAAAAAAAGAATCTATATTTTTTGAGGTAGTGATAAGTAAAGGTTTGATACTGAAGTTATAGACATCACTGCTTTGTGATTTTCAATAACATGTTTAAATCAGCATTGTCTGTAATGCTGGATGATGATGTTTGATGCAGCTTTTAGCTTACGACGAAGAGGTTAATATTGGAGGCAGTGTTTGTGTTGTTAAATGCAATTATTTGAGCTTGCTTTGAATTGTGATGTTTCATTCTGTTTTTTTTATTATTATTAACACATCGGCCGTCTCCCACCATGGCAGGGTGGACCGAAAAAGAAAAACTTTCATTATCATTCACTCCATCACTTTCTTGCCAGAGGTGCGCTTACACTACAGTTATAAAACTACAACATTAACACCCCTCCTTCAGAGTGCAGGCACTGTACTTCCCATCTCCAGGACTCAAGTCCGGCCTGCAGGTTTCCCTGAATCCCTTCATAAATGTTACTTTGCTCACACTCCAACAGCACGTCAAGTCCTAAAAACTATTTGTCTCCATTCGCTCCTATCTAACACTCTCACGTATGCTTGCTGGAAGTCCAAGCCCCTCGCATGCAAAACTTCCTTTATCCCTCTCTCCAACCTTTCACAGGCCGACCCCTACCCCACCTTCCCTCCACTACAGATTTATACACTCTCGAAGTCATTCTGTTTCGTTCCATTCTCTCTACATGTCCGAACCACCTCAACAACCCCTCCTCAATCCTCTGGATAATAGTTTTGGTAATCCCGCACCTCCTCCTAATTTACAAATTACGAAGTGTTTTAAATTAAAAAATGGCATCCCATGCAATAAGTGTCATGTACCCTGGGGTGATGTGTTACAGCCATACGTCTGGCAGTGCTACCAGGACTACCATATGCAACCATATACCCATAGCAAATAACCCAATCTAGATCAGTGTGATGAACTCAGAAAGATCAGTAAATTAAAATATATATGAGTGATCAGTGATGAATGAGTCTGGAAGGAGCTTACAGTAAACAAAAAATTAAATACCATAATATAGCCATAATATACTCACCTCCTCCCCCCCCCCAAAAAAAAAAAAATCACCCACTACTCACATGCCGCAAACCTGGGTTTCTATAAATACATCTCGCATATTACTGTCACTAATGCAGAGAAAGGTAAAGTGGAAATCAGTTTTTTTTTGGCATACAGAGTGAAGTAGGATGCTGGCAGGATGTCAGTACAGTATACCTGTGAGACAAGTAAAAAAGTCCTTGGAAGAAAATCCAGGATCATATGCAACCGGTGCTTTTCCAAACATCATATCTCTTGTGCAAAAATAAACACTGCCTCAAAAAATGAGGTGCTTCTGGTTGTGCAATAGAGATATAGAACTTTGGACAGGTATTAGAAAGGTACTAAGGAGGGTAATAAGTAATAAAAATAAGTGAGAAAATAAATATGACCTCTTGTACAGTTGACAAAAGATATATAAAACATGGTAGGATGAGATAGGAGGAGTGAACCAAAAAATGCAGAATGCCCATACCACAGCCCATACCACAACAGATAACTCGAAACAATATACTCACCTACTGAAAAAATGCAGGAAACAAATACGTCAGTTAACACCCCCCTTTGATCCTAGCACTACTGTCTACAGCAATTGTGCTGGCCCAGGCTCAGCCCCCAGCCCCATGCTGACTCAGGCTCAGCCCCCCGCCTTAGTGACAGTCCAGACTCTGCTAGCAACTCTACCACAGTCACCACTAAAACTTTAAATATACAGCCATTACTGCACAAGACCATATCCCACATTATAGATGTAGTGGAAAAAGTCTTCTTCTTCTACTGGGAAAGTAGTTCCCTGGAAGCAGGACGGGGTGGCCCTGGCTTGGATACTGAGGATTATAGTGTAGTCTAGAAACTGCACGAATTGAGAACACACCTACCAAAAAATTCTACCCAACCAAAAAAAGCAAAATTGTGCAAATTCTATGTTTCGGGCATCTGTAAGCATGGAATATCAGGAAAAACAATTGGGACATTCAACTTTGAGCATCCCAAAAATGTCGTGACCTTCTGTCTAAAGGAGTGTGTCATTCTCCCTCCTGTAAATTCTTTCACCCAGAAATGTGCCACTCTTCGGTGCTCCAAAAACAATGCTACAACACCAGTTGCCTGAATACCATCTAAAAGGGACCAGAGGTACAACCTCACAAGACATATATATATAATATATATATATATATATATATATATATATATATATATATATATATATATATATATATATATATATATATATATTATAATATAATATAATGAGGTACCACCTCTAGAACTGTCCTAAGGACCCTCATCCTCAGAGGAAAGATATATTATAAATTATAATATAATAATATATATATATAATATATATATATATATATAATATATATATATATATATATATATATATAATATATATATTATATATTATATATATATATATATATAATATATATATATATATGAGTGCCGGATAGGTAAAAACTGGTCAATTAGCAAGAACTCATTTAAAAATAAGTCCTATCTAAATTTTTTTTCTATATATGTTAATGTTAGAATTAATAATTTTGTAACAAGATAACCTTAGAAAACTTACCTAACCTTATTATAACAAGCGCAATTTAATTTAGACTAATCCAGGTAAATATATTTTAGATAAGTTTACAATAATTTAATAATAAATAGACACAATGAAATATATCTTTATCGTTAGGTTCAGAATGATTTTTATGAAATTATTGGATGCACAAATTTCCGTTTGCTTTATTCGGCAAGGTCATTTCTAGTTAAGCCAAAATCGCAAGTTTTACCTATTCGGCATGATATATATATATATATATATATATATATATATATATAATATATATAATATATAATATATATAATATTATATATATATATATATATATATATATATATATATATATATATACATATATATGCCGTGCCGAATAGGCATTAAATAGCAACGCTCATCTTGCCATATAGGACAAGTGAAAATTTGTGTATGCAATAATTTCGCCAAAATCATTCTGAACCTAACGAAAATAATATATTTCACTGTGATTGTTTAGTATTAAATTATTGTAAATGTATCTAAATTATATTTAGTTGGATTAGGCTAAAATAAATTGCGCTTGTTATAATAAGATCAGGTAAGTTTTTTAAGGTTCTTTTGGTACAATTTTATAATCAAAAGTGTTAAGTGTGAGAGAAAACGACTGAACAAGTAGATGTCAATGCGGATGTCAAATGAGTGGTGGCTAATAATGATTCAGGAGTATTATGTGTAGTGACAACTCTCATATGAAGAGTTCAATAAATTGAGTACTTAAAAATAAGACAGAACTGAGAAAAGGGTTTGTGATTAGTTTATCTGCGTACAGGGAAAACATCCGAGTACAACAATTTCAGAAAGGCCCTTGTATCAACCTTTCCGCAAGTGAAAAATGTCTTTAAAATGGTACATCGTTTTAAGGTCAATGAAACCAAGAGTACGTGTTCACATTTGTTTGTAAACTACACAACACTTGGTCAGGTTGCATGATGTACAAAAGAAATATTTATTGAAAGTGTTCGAGATAAATAAGTGAGACATTTTCATAAAGTAATTGGAAAAAGAAGACAGGGGGGGGGCATTAATTCAAAGTTATGTTATGAACGGAAATGATCACACAGAAATAAATTTTTCTTAAAAAGCAAATATCCACATATTAAGAATTATGAATATGTTAAGGAGCAGTAAAAAGTCACGTGAATGAAGGAAAATAAATTACAGGAATGAGTCAGGAAGAAGAAGAAGAAGATGAAGAAGAAAGAAGAAGAAGAAAAGAAGAAGAAGAAGAAGAAGAAGAAGAAGAAGAAGAAGAAGAAGAAGAAGAAGAAGAAGAAGAAGCACCTTAAAAAATAGCAGGGATGAAAAACACATTATTAAAGAACATTGCAAGTGAGCATGATACAGCGACAATAAAACGGGAACATGAGGGACCAGAAAAATATTGCATAAGGAACAACGCACTTGAATCCCACATCAATAATGAACACAGTTGTCTAATAATATGGTAAGAAAACTAATATTATCATAATTCAAAGTTTACAGTGAACTAGATAACAAATTGAGATGACATATGGTACAATAGCAAGGGTTAAGTCTCACATGAATATATTACATGTTACACGGGAACGCGGGAGACTGCACAAAAATATTACATAGAACACACGGGAATGACACAGCATTTACCACATGATTCAGACTCACCTTCCCTTCACGATCATCACCTATGGGAAGAAATTGATACACTGATTAATGAATTTCCGTCAGTTAAGAAGGTTCACAAAGATAACTGGTTTTATCCCACTTTTGGTTTTATTACAAATACAAGTTCAGAAAGATGCATTTCTGGCCTAACTCACCATCAGGAGGCCTAAGATGATTAAGACTTTTACAGCCATTGTGCTGGAGTAGTTATGCGTTCAGAGAATATCCGCCAGTGCTATATATACACGATATCTTCTCCCCACTCTCCTCTCTTATCCCCCTCCTCTCCATCCCCTCCTCCACTCCTTTCCTCTTTCCAACTTTATTCTCTTCCCTCTCTTTATTCTCGCTCTTATCTCTAACTCCAGCCAGCATATAAAATAACCATCACACCTATTATGGATAATCAAACCACAATAAACATAATTATGGGTTAACTCTTGGACTTCAGATCACACCAAAGTTGTAAATGCAATTGAGATGCCTCACCGAGAAGTCTCATAGTCTGAAGTATCAGTGTGGTGATAACAGGCCAGCATATGTCCTGGTGGGAATCTAATGGTTAATGGGAAATACTGCAATAAGACCTGCGAAGTAGTGGTGTTGCAGCCTTTCCTCAGTTACATCGTTGCAGACGTATCGTGCCCGGCTTATATAATGTGCTTACTTATGGCTAATTTATTTATTTATTTATTTATTTATTTAGAAATTTTAGCATACATACAGAGGTACAAAAAAAATACAGGTAAGAGCAGCATGCCAAAGCCACTTATATGCATAGCATTTCGTTTTCAAAGATTTATGAAACCTTACCCAATCTAAATTAGCTTAATCGAGTTTAAAATAAATAAAATAAAAATTTGAAGAAAAATTTAAGTGTCAGGAAGTTCATGCTGAGCACCATTCCAAAAAATCACGTAGTAAACTGAGGTTTAATCAAGACGTCATGTTATTGTCTCTTAATTTATATATATGTATATTTATTCCCTTTTCGTCCGAAATGCCTAAACTGTTATTGATATTTTTTTAAAACTTACTCATTTCCTGAAGAGAACAGAAAATTTGCGAGTTAATCTATTTTTAATAAAACTTTTTATGTTCCCTAGAAAAGTCTTCATTTACTAATGTCGCTTTTATAAAACTACGTAGTTACTAGTAAATAAACTGTATTATTATAATATATATACCGCAAATGAGAGAGTGGGTGAGATGTTATCAACAAATTTTGATGAAAATAAGAAAAAGTTTTGGAGTGAGATTAACAAGTTAAGAAAGCCTAGAGAACAAATGGATTTGTCAGTTAAAAATAGGAGAGGAGAGTTATTAAATGGAGAGTTAGAGGTATTGGGAAGATGGAGGGAATATTTTGAGGAATTGTTAAATGTTGATGAAGATAGGGAAGCTGTGATTTCGTGTATAGGGCAAGGAGGAATAACATCTTGTAGGAGTGAGGAAGAGCCAGTTGTGAGTGTGGGGAAGTTCGTGAGGCAGTAGGTAAAATGAAAGGGGGTAAGGCAGCCGGGATTGATGGGATAAAGATAAAATGTTAAAAGCAGGTGGGGATATAGTTTTTGAGTGGTTGGTGCAATTATTTAATAAATGTATGGAAGAGGGTAAGGTACCTAGGGATTGGCAGAGAGCATGCATAGTTCCTTTGTATAAAGGCAAAGGGTACAAAAGAGAGTGCAAAAATTATAGGGGATAAGTTTGTTGAGTATACCTGGTAAAGTGTATGGTAGAGTTATTATTGAAAGAATTAAGAGTAAGACGGAGAATAGGAAAAGCAGATGAACAAGGAGGCTTTAGGAAAGGTAGGGGGTGTGTGGACCAGGTGTTTACAGTGAAACACGTAAGTAAACAGTATTTAGATAAGGCTAAAGAGGTCTTTGTGGCATTTATGGATTTGGAAAAGGCGCATGACAGGGTGGATAGGGGATCAATGTGGCAGATGTTGCAGGTTTATGGTGTAGGAGGTAGGTTATTGAAAGCAGTGAAGAGTTTTTACGAGGATAGTGAGGCTCAAGTTAGAGTATGTAGGAAAGAGGGAAATTATTTCCCAGTAAAAGTAGGCCTTAGACAAGGATGTGTGATGTCACCGTTGTTGTTTAATATATTTATAGATGGGGTTGTAAGAGAAGTAAATGCGAGGGTCTTGGCAAGAGGCGTGGAGTTAAAAGATAAAGAATCACACATAAAGTGGGAGTTGTCACAGTGCTCTTTGCTGATGACACTGTGCTCTTGGGAGATTCTGAAGAGAAGTTGCAGAGATTGGTGGGTGAATTTGGTAGGGTATGCAAAAGAAGAAAATTAAAAGTGAATACAGGAAAGAGTAAGGTTATGAGGATAACAAAAAGATTAGGTGATGAAAGATTGGATATCAGATTGAGGGAGAGAGTATGGAGGAGGTGAATGTTTTCAGATATTTGGGAGTGGACCGTGTCAGCGGATGGGTCTATGAAAGATGAGGTGAATCATAGAATTGATGAGGGGAAAAGGGTAAGTGGTGCACTTAGGAGTCTGTGGAGACAAAGAACTTTGTCCTTGGAGGCAAAGAGGGGAATGTATGAGAGTATAGTTTTACCAACGCTCTTATATGGGTGTGAAGCATGGGTGATGAATGTTTGCAGCGAGGAGAAGGCTGGAGGCAGTAGAGATGTCATGTCTGAGGGCAATGTGTGGTGTGAATATAATGCAGAGAATTCGTAGTTTGGAAGTTAGGAGGAGGTGCAGGATTACCAAAACTGTTGTCCAGAGGGCTGAGGAAGGGTTGTTGAGGTGGTTCGGACATGTAGAGAGAATGGAGCGAAACAGAATGACTTCAAGAGTGTATCAGTCTGTAGTGGAAGGAAAACGGGGTAGGGGTCGGCCTAGGAAAGGCTGGGAGGAGGGGGTAAAGGAGGTTTGAGTGCGAGGGCTTGGACTTCCAGCAGGCATGCGTGAGCGTGTTTGATAGGAGTGAATGGAGACAAATGGTTTTTAATACTTGACGTGCTGTTGGAGTGTGAGCAAAGTAACATTTATGAAGGGGTTCAGGGAAACCGGCAGGCCGGTCTTGAGTCATGGAGATGGAAGTACAGTGCCTGCACTCTGAAGGAGGGGTGTTAATGTTGCAGTTTAAAAACTGTAGTGTAAAGCACCCTTCTGGCAAGACAGTGATGGAGTGAACGATGGTGAAAGTTTTTCTTTTTCGGGCCACCCTGCCTTGGTGGGAATAGGCCAGTGTGATAATAAAAAAAAATAAAATATATACCGATTAGGCAATAAACTGTTAAATACAATTTTAAAAACTGCGACTATTGACACTGAGTTTAAGAGAGTTTTGATTATGATGGAAAAAACGCTATCTTGAAGGCTGTGAAATATCATGTAAACGTAACAACTGGGAACTATTACAGTCGTCTGACAAGGTATAGCTATCAGCCATTTTGCTCGTTCGAGGGCTGCAACACGCATATCACCCACCAGCTGCGACTTTTCTCAAATGATTACCAGTTAACCCCCTTCTCTAACCCCCTCAAAATCTTACAATTTTTTTGTACTGGAAGATAGACGTAAGAACAACAAACATTTCATAAACTATATTAATTAACTGTAAAATACACTTAGAATACTAACCTAACCTTGCTAAAAGTGGTGTAATTTAACATAGCGTTTTCTTTTTACTCTCTAACACTGGTAATGACAGTCCAAATTTAACCCGGACTCTAAGCGTGTGAAACGAGAGTTTTGCCTACCAGGCCATGAGCCACTTTAAATGCAATATCCTGTAGTCTTTATGAAGGAATGAAAGGTATTTCAGGAGCTCGTCATCAGGCATGAGGATTGTGAAATCAATATTCTCAAATAACGGTGCGGATATCTAATAACAATTGTTTATGATTCATAAATACAATTTCGAATTGTTATTTTTTTTAATTAGAGTCATCTGTGTACCGCCACTGGAGCATTTGGCCATCAGACCGAGGCCTTCCGCTGGCTTACCAGTCCACCCCTTTAAAAATTAAAATGACAGTCTGATAGCCTTCAATTCCTCAATATTACAACCAGAGGCGCCCAGAGGCGCCCTGGGTGACACCATTTAGGGGGTGACACTATGGAGCCTCTAAAGAAGGTGACACTAATGCACAAAACAGTGCCTCACCAACATAAGAGAAGAATCCTTCGTTGATTTTGATAATTTGATAGATTGATTTTGATGATGTGATAGATGATTTTGCATAATTGAAGGCAAGGAAATGTAAGATCAGATTCACTGTGATGTTACCTGTACTCAAGGTCATATGGGAACTAGTGTTTCTCTGATATTGCTATGTTTTTCTTTATTTTTCAATTTTTTTTTTTGTTTTGGCATTGTTGAAGATGAATAAGTGTAGGATCTGTTGGCTGTATTCAAAGTGGTATTTGAGTTCATGTTTCCTCAATATTATTTATTTTATCATCAATAAAGTTGAGAAGTATTCTCCTGTTCAGTTTATGGCCCTTAAAGGTTCTCACTGTTAAACATTTGTCACTGGTCATGCAGTACTGAGGTAACTGAAGTTTACCCCCCTCCATCCCCCCGCCCATGAATTTCATGGGGGTGACACCAAAGATGCTGCCCCGGGTGACACCAACTCTAGCGACGCCTCTGATTACAACGCAGTAGAAGCGTTTTTTAACGTCGCTGTGAGAGATATGCTTATTCATTTTTCATATGTATTTATCTTTCTACTTAGACTCGTACTCTGGTAAATTTTGGTAATTTTCCTGGGATTTGTGTGTAAGAATTAATGGGGATAACGTTTATCTAAACCTGTGCAGGTGTGTATCTTCAATGACTTTTAAAAGATGTTCTGTGACATGAGAACTAATAGTTTCAGATACATTGTAATAGGGTTCAAATACATTGTAATCTGGTCATAATAAGACTGATAATGAATTTAATACTGGACTCGGTGATTGGACGAGGTGTTGATCATCGCGTTCACCTACAATAATTTAATTTCACACACACACACACACACACACACACACACATACACACACACACACACACACACACACACACACACACACACACACACACACACACACACACACACACACACACATATATAAATACATGTGTGTGTATGTGTGTGTGTGTGTGTGTGTGTGTGTGTGTGTGTGTGTGTATGTGTATGTACAGTCCACAACCAAATTTAATACAGCCAGTATTACAGGATTGAAGTATTTTGTTTAATAATTTTAAGAACTACATGTTCAAATAATTTAAGGT